CCTAGCCCCGCCTCCTCTCCCTCCCGCTTCCCAGGTTCAACTTTGCCTCTTGCCCTAGTCCCATTCAGCCTCAGCCCTAACTCCCCTTTCTACGAATCGGAAGGTCAACTCCAGCTTCCGAACCTGGCCCTTCCCCCGCCAGCCTTTCCACTCCAGTCCAGCCCTGGGCTCCAGCACCGCCTTCTGACCGCACCGACTGACCCTGCCCAGTACCGCTGTGGAGAGCCCGATCTAGCGCGGCTCGCCTAGGCCCAGCCCCACCCCCACCGTGGGCCCCAAGCAGCCCAACCCCGCCCACCTAAAACTCCAGCCCCTCCAGGAGCCCCGCCCCCTCCCCACGGCACCTGCTTCCCAAGTTCACCCTGCTCGATGCATCAGCAGGTGTCCCAAGTGCAACCTCACGCTGAGGGTCCAGCGCCACCCCTCACCCTGGTCACGCCCCTCCTCCCATCAACTCCACCATCCTCAGCGTCTCCCTCCCCTTCCGGCCGTGGAGTGCCAAGTGGGCTCCTGGGAGGAGAAAACACAGCCTGGAGACCCAGGGAAAGCCCTCCTGCCGCCCCATCCCCACCAAGGCGGGGCGCTTCAGTCCCCTCCCAGCAGCGTCTTCAGGAGCTCGGGGAGGCCTGCGAGAGGGGAGGGAAGAGGAATCAGGGCGATGAGAGGAGGAAGACCCTTTCACCCTCCTCTTCCGCCGGGGAAAAGCCCGCCAAGCACAGCACCCAGCCTGCGGGCCAGAAACACCCGCCAAGGGTTAGCGGAAGCACTGCGTTTAATGGAGACGGCGGGCCGGGCTAGCGCACGTCCTGTGGAAGTCACGGCCGGCCAGGCTCCAGGCGTAAGGTCCTGGAGGGGCTTCGGCCCGGTGGACTCATCTGGAGGCGTCCCCCAGGTGTGGCGCCTCGACGAGTCGTCCGCGCTTGGCCCGGCGCTCCGGCCTCCGGGACAGACCCTGGGTCCTCCCCCTAGTGAAACCCTGTCGGGGCCCAGGGCGGCGGAAGCGGAGCAGCAGCCTGGGTTAGTGAGGCACAGTCCGGCAGCTGTCAGCGAGCGGCCCCCGGCGGCGGGGCGGCCGCCACCACCTTGCAGAAACGCACCCTCTGGAAGTCGGTGATCTCGGCCGTCTCCTGGCCCCGGAGACCAGCCTCTGCAGAGAGAAGGCGGTGTCAAAGAAGGGGCACAGCGCTCCCGCCGCCCCCAGGCCCGGGACACTCTCCCCCGGACGTCTGGCCCCTACCCACCACGCCAAGCCGTTCAGGGTCCTAACCGCCCGCCAAGCGCGCCCTCTCCAGCACCGCACTCTATTCTAATCAGGTGCGCATTTCTACCCTAGTCCATCCCATTCGGTTGCACTCCAAAACTAACCCCGGCCACTGCCCTGCCCTGCTCATGCCCCCAGTCCCAGTGCTGAAGGAACTCAGGGCCTGGTGCAGCCCACTGGGCTGCACCCATAGCTCCCCATTCTTTTGGCTTTTAGAGCCCAGTTCAATTTTTTTTTTTTTTTTTTTTTTTTGAGACAAGGTCTCACTAAGTAGTGCAGGCTGGCCACAAACTCAACAGTGACCCTGCTGCCTCAGCCTCCCCACTGCAGGGAAGACAGGTGTCATCCCACACCCCGCTAGCCCAGATCAATTTTGAATCCAACCGTAGCTCCTTCTACAGAGACGTAACCAGCCCTTCCTTTCCTCCTTCCCTGCCCTTAACCTTTCTCCTGACGACACCTTTTCACCCAGCACCAACCATGCCCCCCCGCAGCGTGCCCAGCATTACAGCCCAAGCCCAGGCCCCGCCACCGCCACCCTGCAGGGCCCACACTGCCTCAGCTGCCCCAGCTCTGGCCTGTAGTCCAGAGGAGGCTGGCAGGCTGAGCGCCTCCACCACCATGCACCCCCACCTGGAGCCGCCTCAGACCCCTCCTCTTCTTCCCTCTGGGCTCCTGGGAGGCCTGGCCTCCTCTCTGGGGAGGCAGGGGCTGGCCGGTCACCTCCTGGGGAAGGGGAGGCCCAGTCAAGCCCCGGCCCCTCAAGTACCTCCTCACCCCTGGAGAAGGCCGGGACAGATGGGACTTAAGGACACACTGAGGGATGTCACCGGAGGGTACGAACTCTTTATTGGGGAGGGCTCTGCGTGACCTGGGGCAGGCTTTGGGAGCGGGCATTCCAGAGAAGTGGGCACAACAGTTCGGAGGGACAGACTGCCCCCCAGCCTCCAGGGCTGTGGGACACGGGATCCCCAGGACCTGCCTCTCCCTCCTGCACACACACAGGCAGCCAGCATCATGCACTCCCGAAAGGCCAGGCCTCACCCGGAGAGAGGGCGCCGCCCGGGTGAGCTGTCCCGGGAGAATTCAGCTCCATCTCCTCACCCCAGTCAGACACAGGCTGGTGGCCCCCGGGTGGCGAGAAGGGGCTGACAGGCGTGGCAGGGCCCTGGGGCAGCGGCTCCTCAGGTCTGGGCGCTTCTTCAGCCTGCTCGCTGGGGAGGCTCCCAGTGGGCTCAGCCCCGTGGGCTTGGTGCTCTCGGGCTGGTTCTTCCTCCTGTTCCCGGGCACCTTCCTCCTCTTGGATGTGCTGCTGCTGCTCTGCTGCTCTGCTGCTCTGCTCCTGCTGCTGCTCCTCCTCCTCCTCCTCCTGCTCCTCCTCCTCCTCCTCGGTTACCTCCTCACTCACATCCTCCCATTCTTCGTCATCCTCGCCCTCGTCCTCAGGAGGCCGGTGGGCAGGGGCCGGGGTTTCTGGAGGCTGCAGGCACAAAGGCAGGTCAGCAAAAAAGCGTGGCCTGGGTGCCCTCACACGCTCCATCCTGTCCTACCTGTGCTGGCCTCTCCTCAAGCTGTGTGGCCTCGGGGGCTGGGGACACTGCCTCCCCTTTCATCTCCCAGCGGTCATCATGGTCACTGGAGGGCACAGGAAAGGGGTGAGAGGTGGACAGGAGCAAGGGCCCCCTTAGCTCCCAACGCCTTATTGTGGACGTGAGTCCCCACGTCAGAGGACAGGCACATGGAAGGGGCAGGCAGCAGAAGCAGAAATGGATGCGGGGAGGGCACAGGGCTTACTTTAAGATCCAGACCCCAAGCCCAAAGCCAAACACCGAAGAGACAGGGACAAGGAGACGGCTGCACCCGAACACACGCTCGAGGGCAGACAGAAGGACCTGGGGCGGAGCCACACTGCCCGAGAGGGGTGGCGGTGTGTGGCAGAGGGCACCCACCTGTAGGCCCGGGGGGCTGCCTTGGGCTGAGGTCTGCTGCTCTTTCTTCGCCGTCGGCTGCTGACCTCAGCTTTGTGCTTTGACAGGAATTCCCCAAAAGTGGGAGGCTTGGGGGGCCGGGCCCAGGCCTGGTCATCTGCAACAGAAGCCAGGAGGTTGGGGGCAATTATTGCACAAACCCCCTTCCCAGCCCCGTACCCGCCCGGGCTGCTGCCGTGCCTCACAGTGTGCGTGTGAGGTCACCACTCACCATAGCGAGGGGATGCTTCGTGGGCGGGGACTGGGCCATCCTTGAACCTGGGAAAGGAGGGTGAACAGGTGCACAGGGATGAGGGAACACAGGAGCGGGGGAGAGGCGGAGCGGGAGGGCTGGAGATCAGATCAGAGGCCGGCCAGCCTACCGGAAGGGCCACTAAGTAGGACAGGCTCAGCTCATGGACAAGTGGCAACTTTGACATCACAGGGATAA